TCAATGCAAAACCTCGTAGATCCGTCTTTCTTCTTTACTAGGACAACTCGTGAAGCCCAAGGGCTCTTAGACGGTTCAATAACTTTATTTTCTAACATTTCTTGGACATGTTTATCCACCTCTGCATTCATGTGTTCTGGGAGCCTTCTAGGAACTTCTTTGATGGGCTTATGACTTCCTGTATCAATGCTGTGTTTAGTCATAGCAGTTCGTCCCACATCTTTATCGGATTTGGTAAAGATGTGTGCGTATTTACACAAAAGCTGTTTCACCATCTTTGCTTGCCTTTTACTGTGATTTGCTATTGTTTTCTTAAACAATGATGTCATGTGTTCAGGCAAAGTCTCACTGGATTCTGTTTCATTTAATCCACCCTCAAGTATCTCCTCTACTGGTGCCAGTTGGACAACTGCCAGTTGTCCAACTGCAGTGCCAACATGTATTGTGATATTTCTTTCAGTTGGGTTAAGCAAACGTATTGGAACACATTTATTTCCTTTCACTAAGGTCCTTCCTACCAAACCTCTATCAGAATTTAAATATGAGCAGGAGGGTTCTACAACACCAAATTCTGAACCAAATTCTTGGTTTTCTGGAACAATGACCTTCCCAGTGGTGACTATTTCACTCTTTGAAGGAAGTGACAACGTTTCTGATGTAACGATTCTGAAACAACCTATTGTACCTTCAAATTTCAAACAATGAGTTTCATCTCCCAGAATAAGTGTCTTATCGTATAGATTGATTACACCTTTGTTATTCTGCAAACAGTCAAGACCCAAAATCGCATCTACATTAATGTCTGCAATTAAAGATGTTTTGTATATGATTTTCTTCCGAAATTTGAACTTAATAAGTGTCTTCCCCAAAATACTCAAAGGAGTACCTGTAGCTGACAAGATATTTAAGTCCGTTTCAGCCAACTCTATCTTCTTATCACGGTTTATGACTTCAAATACCTTTTGTGATAGAAGAGTTACTGTTGCTCCTGTATCTACTAATGTTGTAATCGGAACATTATTAGCAGTCCCCAAGACGTACATGCCTGGTTCGTTAACTTTTCTCTGTACTCCAATACTACCTTTCTTGATTGGTCTACTGTTTTCTGAAGCTAATTGTTTTGCGGTGCCTTCTTTAGAAAAACCTTTTTTCTTTAGTCCTCCAGGTGGTCCAGAACCAAACTCTTCGAAATTATCTTTCCTTTTCTCTGTATTCTGCAGCCTACAGTTTCTCTTGAAGTGCCCAGGTTTTCCACAATTAAAGCACTTTTTAGTAGTTGTATCACTTGCTTTCTTATTGAAATTCCGTGAGGAATACGAAGGAAATTCCTTGTTTGGGAACTTTTGCTGCCCATGCTTTATTTTGTTAACAGCTTTTTGAAGACTCAGGAGCATATCTTTCATAGATTTCATCACTTCTTCCAGAGTATCCGACTTGGTTTTAACTGGTGGTTTTTCACTGCCTATCTCTCGAGCAAAATCATCACTATGCTTTTTGCGCTCTGCACCTATGAAAGCATCTAGTTCCACCGCGTGCCTTATAGCATCGTTCAGACTTCCTGGTCTTGATTGTTTTATTCTAAGACGCATGTCAAAGCTTGTTAGAGCATCTATGAAATACTCTTTGGCTAGTGTTTCACACAAGTCCCCTGAGGCCGTCGGATATGCAAGACGTGTTAGGCGTCTGATGTCTTGTCCAAACTGGGGTATAGTTTCTGTTGCTTTTTGACGCCTCTCTTTTAGTTGGGCTCTGTAGAGTTCCGTTTGATTGACAGGAGAAAAACGCTCCTCCAGAGATTTTGACAATTCTTGGAAGTTCATTTGTAACCTATCTGGAAGGTTTCCAAGCACACCTTGGGCTTGTCCGCGTAGGGATACTGCCAAATACATTCCCTTCTCTTCCTCTGACCACTTGTTTAATGATGCACAAGCATTAAAATGGGACCTGTAGTCTAACCATGACGTTGTTCCGTCATATGTAGCAGGTTTTAAGCTGCTTAGTTTATTAGCCCTGTATCCTGGCCCTTCTTCAAAACCATGCCTCTGAAATCGTCCATCCTGGCTTCTCCGCAATGTAATGTTACCTGCCTCCCTGAATGGTGTTTCAAGATATATGCCAGAATTCCGTGAACTATCGTCTTTTCTTTCATTTGAGGCAGAAGCGGATCTGAAAGCATTTTCTGTACCAACATTAAACTTTACTTTGGGTTTGGCACCTCCATAATCTTCTTCATGTTTTGATTCCTTTTGTCCCGAAGCACCAATTCCAGAATCTCTAACAGTTATTGGAGTAGATATCTTTTGATGTTCCTTTTGTTGAAGTAAAATACTTTCATTAGAAAGCGCCTTTACTTGCTCTTCCAAATAGCTTATCTCTTTATCTAGCGTATCTTCCATGACTTTGACCTAAACGTTTTCTACCTTAAGACTTTAAAACACGTTTGAAACTTACAGTTTTAAACTTAATGCTATCTCTTACTATTAAACACAAATGAATAAAAAAAAAATGGGATATGTACTTCAAATGGTTTGTCTGCAGCAATTTGAGACCCGCATATGAAGTACACTCCCGTCCTTAAAAGTTAAGCTCAAAATAACAACAAAAATTTGCTTCTCTTTTGTTTAGATCATCCCACCGCTGCCACCAAATTTTGTAATATGTACTGTGGGTTCTCCAGTCATGGAAAAAGAAATATATATAATTTTCCTTACGTTGCCTACGTCAATAATTGATTGGTAAAAATAAACTAAACGAGAATTACGTGGAATAAAATTTACTAAATTTGTACAAGCAATGATTCTCTAATGATTCCTCTAATGTTCCTGAGCTATCCTAGTGCTTTAGCTATCCAAGGTCTGAAATCATTTAATTGAGCTTCCAAAGCTCCCAGACCTTATATCTCAGAGCAGTGTTTCCAAACACCCTCTATAAAACTTATATTATTCCAATAGGTTTGGAACCTAATGTACCCCAAATGGTATGTCTGCAGTATATTGAGACCCGCAAATGAGGCACAATAAATTCCTTACCTTTTTAACACGATCCACGCTGATCAGCGGCCACTGGCAGACTAACTACGAGCATCAGCGCTCGCCATTATTTATAGTTACCCAAAGACCCTAAGTCATCGTCTTTGTCTTAGTCATTAAAACGTTTAATGTTATATAGCTAATACACTAGGAAGCATCTGATTGACAACTAATTTGCATATAATTAATTTGATCAAGGAAATTTCTACTACACCAAGTTATATTGAAATCAGACCATAACTGTAGGAGGAGTAGCATTTTGAAAGAATTTCACAGAAATTTCTATTTTTAGTAACAACGGCAACACCGTTAATGGAAATCAAAAACCGATAAACAGAATTATGTATCTTAGTGTAGTCTACTTGTGTGCCAAGTTATATTGAAATCAGACCAAAACTGTAGGAGGAGTAGCATTTTGAAAAATTGTTTACAGACAGACAGACAGACGGACAGACAGACAGACAGACGGACGGACGACGGACGCATTACTATCGCATAAGCTCTTCTGGTCTCTGACCAGTAGAGCTAAAAACGATATTACCGCAATATTGCTGCAATGTATTGCCAGAATGTTGCTGCAATATTGCGGCAATAATGCCAGAAGATGTTGCCAGAAGGTGAGTATTTTGGTAAGGGTTTTCGATACTTTTCACTCTGGCATATGTGATGAAAAAATTAACATAAATTGAAATTTTTCATATTCTAGCTATTTTTAATCATTTTATTCCAACACGAAAAAAGTTCATAGTTTTTTACTCACTGTCTGACTGCAGTACCGGTATTACTCCTGAGCATTTAAAGTAAGTTAGAATTTCTTTCAAAGAATCGTACCTATTGTATGCATTCCTTTATTGAATAATTTTTTTAGATTTAATATTTATTTATGAAAACATTCAAAAACAATAAAATAAATGAGAATAACGTACAGCTGGCATTAGAGTTCAAATGTCCATTCAAACAAAATCAGGAGCATGCAGAGCTAACACGGACCTCCAAAACATCAGAGGTTGGATCGGGTGACAATACAACAAAACCTTCTGAAAACTGAAACATTTCATCATATTTATTTTATGCACAATCCATGTCCAACAGTGTTTTTTTTTTCGGGAAATTCTAAAATTATAGAACCTTGCTCAATTTAAAATTTAAAATGCATCCCAAATCCAAAACTGTGAAGTCAATCCACTGTCCTGTGGGTGAAACAGAACGCATATATTACACGACGATCAGAAAAAAGCCTCAGTACATTAATTACCAAAAGTAGTTTTTGCAACTTTAGAGGGTTTATTATATAAATACTGCATGTAGTTACACTCAACTATATGCAATATTTATTATATTATACTGAATGTTTTATACAAATACAAATAATAGTGAACCGTGCGCATAAATTCTGCGCAGTCGCTATTTCTTGGAATATCACCCGTCGTCAAGCAATGTTGACTGTTGCTACGCTGGAGGGCGTGGCTTCATTATTCACCGGGTAAAAGTGTTTTTTAACAAATGTTTCTCGACCAATCAGATTCAACTAATTTACATGAAAGTACAATACATGTATTTTAAATTATTGTATGAAGTCAGACTTAACATATATACTAATTTTATATTCCTTGCAAATAAATACAAAAAAGACAATTTTCTTCAAAATACGAGTAAAAATGTACATGTTTAAAGATTTATACTTAACTAATATTAACATGAATCAGTTTTTCAGCAATATAACTGAAACAATAGGGAAATCAAAGGATATTTAAGAAAAAATTACTTTAAGGATCAACAAATTTAATTATAATCGGTTTAGAAAGGTCGTATATATATGTGCTTTCAAATACATTTCTTTGGATCTAAATATTCATGCTGAAAGCAAATGCAAGACAAATGTTCTTTTGCATTTAGAAAAAAATGTTGCAATTGCTAAAAGTTTATTTTCTTGAATAAAGGAAAGATGACATCCGTGTAATACATTGTAAAATGGAAACTGATTGGATACTAATTTATTTCGTTAATTTGGTGTGTGTTTCAGCTGTCTTCAAAGGCAAGTTTATTTCTTAATTTAACCATCTCTTGATTGTTAATATACATTTTCAGAATAATTTTTTTATACTATAATAATTTAGAAAGATTGGGAGGGGGTTGTCACTCGCTCATTAACAGGCACACTCATCTGTTTCCACTTCAATTTGAAATAAGCAATATCCTTTTAATCAGAGAACTTTTGTACCACAGAAAACATATAGGGGATAGGGTGGGTGAATAACCCTTATTATGTTATAATAAATATCTTTGTATTATTTAAATATATAATTAATTAAAGTAAAATTTTGAATTAGTTTTTTTTAACTTATATTTTTGTTGATATCTTTAATCTTGATAATAAGAAGGGAAGAAAGAGATTCTTTGCATTAATTTATGCAACTTAATTAGACTTGATGATGTCCATCTTTCAAAGGTAGACTCAAGTTTCACTCAATGATTTTAATCCTTCTCTCTTTTTTATCCGACAAAAATATACAAATATACAACTTGAAACTGAGTAATGTTTAATAAAAATGACTGAACGGATTGTTCTTAATTTATTTTTCTTGGGACTTAAAAACGACGGTACAAGTATAAATTATCAATTTACGATACTTCATATTTCAAAACTTGGTTTAAAGTCATTTAAAGTAATCAAGACCATATATTGTGTTATAATGAACCAAAGGTAAAGTCATAGAACAATCAATTTCTAGAGTAGTCTGTTTTCAGACGTTAAATCGCTCAATTCAATACAGTGAATCATTTTTGGCAAACAAATTGCATATACATGCATTAAAAAGTGTACGCACCCTAAATCACCTGCTAATCCTAATTTAAATGTTATTGCATGCATAGACATCTGGCCTGGGGGCCATGAAACATACACCAACTCACTTTTGATCTAAGTCTCAATTAATAACGGAAAAGTGAGACCGAGTTCAAAAGTGAGCTCGTCTAAGTTTTATGGTCCCAAGGCTAGTTCTTTAATAAATTAAGTTGCATTCAGTCTTCGAGTGTGCCATTTTTATTAATCGACACTGAATTTCTTTGATGTATTTTGATGAATGCAAGACATGAGTAAAGACGTTATCGAATCCTGATTAAAACAAAACCATCACATGAGGAAAATCATGACATTCACATAAGAACATAATGACATATACATGAGGAGAATCATAACATTCACATGAGGAAAATCATGACATTCACAAAAGAACACTGAACATATTCATATAATGATATATACATGGGGAAAATCATGACATTCACATGAGGAAAATCATGACATTCACATAAGAACATAATGATATATACATGGGGAAAATCATGTCATTCACATGAGGAAATCATGGCATCCATATGAGAAAAATCATGACATTCACCTTGTCAACTGATCATGGGTCGAAGTCATACCACAAACCACCTTCATTTCAAGTCTTTGTCCATTACAAAATGATTGTCCAGACAAAGATGAAAATACCTCCAATTACTTATTACAACGTAAGTGCAATAATAATTTTTGAAATCTTTTCCAATAAAAAAAGGTAGAGAAGAACCTTTTGCAAATGACTTTGTCTGTTTCAGATAAATGATACCCATACTCTTTGGTCAGTAATAAAGTCTTAGTTTTTTTTTCCAGATACGTAAAGGGTTACAGTTGCAGGCATACAAGAGGAATGTCAAAATCATTATAACCTCGCCCATTTAATGCTTTCAATGTCGCCCTCCTTTAATATTTTAATAATCTATTTATTAAGCTGCTTATGGTGTTTGTGTATCACACCTTTTTCGTTACTCAACAGTTTGCTCTAAATATGATTTTTTTTAAACCGAGGCACACTTCTCACAGATAAGTTGATGATAGGGGGATTTTTACAACCTTGTAAGCATTTCGTAAATTCTATGGTCGTTATAAACAATCGATGAATCTTATTTTGGCTGACCTAATGTTATGCTTTTGTTTTTATTTAGATTTGACAACGAAATGCATCCTTGATCAATTCAAAGAGCTTACAAATGAACACTCCTAGGCACCTGATCCCACCTCTTAAGTTTGGGGGTGGGGGGGGGGGGGTGGGAGTGTCTTATTATTTTAATTAAATAGACAAATGAGTATTCTGTAACCAAAGGTATATTTATCGGTATAAAACTAAGTCAAAATAAGACCCACCGATTTGTTGCAATAGCAAACAAGATGATTGATTTTGCGTTATGCTGACTATAAACGAGATTGTTATAAACCATGTAACATAAACTTCTTTGTTAAGAGTTGTTCCCGTTAAACAATAGATCGTACTCACACGCTTCGCATAGAGCAACATAACACTATGTGTCCAGCAGGGCTATAAGTAAATGAGAGGACAAACATGAACATTTGGTAGGATTTTGTTTTAAGTAATCAATTTCTTATACCATTCCCCTTTCTTTTTTACGTAGCAAAGACGTGGTCTATTCTATAAGCACTGAGACAAGAATAAAAGTCCATTAATCTCACACAAAAATTTTATTTTTTGATTTTTTTTAAAACAGATGTAGTCTACATAATGGACAAATCTGGGAGTGTGAAGGAGACAGACTTTGATGAATCCGTGGACTTTGTGTACAACGTCACAGAGTACTTAGCAATCGGTTCATCCGACATGCAAGTCAGTATAGTGGTGTTTTCCTCTTCTTATACCGAGGAATTTGATCTTAATGATCATACAGCAAAATCAGACCTACTGAATGCCATAAAGAACTTACGTGGCACAAGAACCACAGGGAGAACCTACACGTATGACGCAATTGATTACGTCAGAGAATATTCGTTCAGGTCTGCAAAAGGGGGAAGAAGTGGAGCCAGTAGAACAGTTGTGATTCTAACAGATGGATTGTCCAATAGCAAAAGTCGAACAATAACAGCTGCAGACAACCTTCGGACCGAATTAGGTGCAGAGGTGTTCGCTATAGGAATTGGGTCAACATTGTCAAGGTCAAATGAAGAATTGAAGGGAATTGCCAATGACCCTGATTCTTATTATGTCCACTATATTGATACCTTTGTCTATCTTTGTAGTCTCGTTCCAGCTTTGGTTCCAAAACTTGGTATGTCAATACACGACTTTTGCTACCTGTTAATTCAAAAGAGACATAGACAAGTTTAAATTGATAAATTTTTACTACTGTTTGCAGCTGACTGTAAAGTTTCACGTTACGTCACGATCTAGTTGACAGCTGCACTCAAGTAAATTGTACACGCCTCCTAACCGCAAGCTTTACGACTGGAACTTTCTTCTTATCCCTGATTGGTTGCTCGTGCAACAGACTATTTCCATGTCAATGTTGATAATATGATTTGACCAATCACACAGCAAGGGTGTGAATTGTTTACGCTGGATGCATCTGACGAAAAAGATCGTGACGAAACGTGAAACTTTACAGTTAGCTGCAAACAATAGTAATGTAACAATAACATTGAGTTATAAGTTTAAGAAGATTAAATGAATCTTGAATTTTGATATTACTTGAGGGAACTTAACTTTCTAATGGTAAAGCTGACTTTTTTCAGACAGTACCGTGACCCCTACCTTACTCGCTGATTGTCCTACCCCGCCAGCCACAACCCCTGACCCCTCGCTTACAACATCTATAAAAACTACTGTTACATCTACAACATCAACTACAACAAGTACAACAAGTACGACAACAATTGCTGATACAACAACAGAAAGAGATACCACTATAACATTACAAACAACAGAAACGACAGTACAGACACAAAATACAGGTATAAAAACTCACGTGCAACGATTTCACAACAGCGGATAGTTGAAGGAGGTTGATAAAATCTTGATTTTTGTCGGTATATGGTATCACACAATATATTTATTTTAAAAAGAAAACTCTATAATAACCCTTAATTCTTACCATACTGTTTTCTCAGGTAACAGTTCATATTCCTCTTCTGTTGGAAGTGGATCAAGTAAGTGTCCATTCTAGAAGTTAAAAAATTTCGTCATATTATTTCTACCGCAGAATTACAGAGCAACGTTAACCATGTTTTTTATGTTTTAGGTAACACGGCGGCCATTGCAGCAGGTGCTGTGCTGGGAACTCTTGCAGCTGCAGCTACTGTTACTGCCGCAACTAGTCTTCTACGACGTTGGTATGCCATTTCACTTGCAAAGCGTAGTTATTTTTCTTAATGGAAGTTGTGTTGTTCCTTCAGGGAGCAGTCCCGTCTGTATACATAAAAAATATTGTTTATAAATGGAAAAAAAAATGAAATATTTTTGTATGTTATCGTTTACAAAAAGAAATACTGTTCTTATAATTATTGTTGTTTCTAGGCATCTACCAATAAAGGATGACCCAGTGGTTCTAGCTGCAGTCGAACAGTACCAACAAGCACCTATAGGACCCTCCAAGCCAATATTCAATATTACATAAAATTTCAAATCTAATTTGTGTTAAAAAGATAAAAAGTGTTTTTGATTTCAAAGGTTTTGAAATAACTTGCTTTGGATTTTTACAAACCTTTACGCAATACATACATATTTTCCAAGCTAAATAAAAATACAGTGACTTGCTGTTTGAGCAAACTACCCTTTCGTTGATTTTATGTTTACTTGTATGTATCAATTCTTATTACACGGGATATATGTATCAGTATTTCTCTTTTTTAATACAATAAATATGCATTCTAGCTGACAATGATCAAACCAAACTGGTATATTTTGCTAATGCGGTGAATGAAGAGCTAAGTACGTCATTCAAAGCTCCTTATCAGGGGGAGGGGTCAAAATCGTCTTCTTCTTTTGTTTTACTTTGACATAAAATATGTCAAATGCAACATTATTGATAACCGAAAATCAAAATTCACGCTCACATTGATCACTGTTGATAGTATACATGTAACAGTAGGAGCCGCTGCAATCTTGACTCTAACGTTAATTGAATCACTAGAAGGATAAAGGATTTTGAAATATTTTTCACATTTGTAGAGGAGACAGATTGTTAGAAAGTAATAGATAATATGAATTGGGCCAAAATAAAATTATAGTTTGTTTGGAATTGCCTCCCGCCTCTCTGAAATACCCCCCTCCTGAAAAAATTTTATTGACCAAAAGTAAGAAGATTTTTTTTTTATTTAATCAATTTTTTTTGTCCATTACATGTATCACATTCACCATACAAAACACTGAAATATAGTCTCAGATCCATGTAAAATTAGATTTTTTGTTGATGGTAGATGCTTTTTTTAAGTCAGAAAAATGTTTTTACTGTTTACTGAGATTTTTATTAAAAATTAAAATTCATCTTCAATTAAAAAAAAAAAATAATTTCCCTCCCTCCCTCCTGTGTCTGAAACCCTTCAGGCGGCAATTCCAAACAAACATTTTTTTAAGGATGGCCTTGGATTATAATTTTTTAAAATATGAAGTCTTATAACTGCAATGGTGTATGCCAATTGAGTGATGCACATTAGTGTAATAAAAATTTGTTTGCAGTCTTTCAAAGAAAGATAATTCAAAACTTTGTGTAAGAGCTACATTTTATCAATGAAGCCGTAGTTGAATCATATTTTACAAATTGCCTAATCAGAACAACATTGTAAAAAATAATTGCCAACAGTTATTATGCAATGCTATATTTTTCAAATTTCTTCACAGTATTTAAATCAGTTTGGATTTATAAACGTTTGCACCTTAATATGTTTTATGTACATGTAGTTTAGTACTTCATAAAATCATTTCTGGGTGAAATGCATCACCATATCCTCTCTGTAATTGCAAACTGAAATTAGTTTTCATAGTACAGCTGCAAGCATCCCCCCATCTTACATACAGATATATTTAATATTTTTCTCCTCTTGATTTCAAATAAAGCTCATCTGAATCTTGAGCACTGAAGTTATACAGAATTTCTTTCAAAGTAATGTCTTCCTTATTTATCTTCGAAAATGTTTCCAACTGTTATGAACACAATCATTAAAAATACTTCCTTCTCTAAAAACAAAACCTGAAATATTTTAATATACAATTGTTTTGTCTGCCATGAATAAAAATTCCTTTTTTGGCAAAATTTTTCAAAGCAATCTACCTTGCTAATATCTTTCAGTTTACAAGCATTTCAATTATAGTATAATAAAATAAATCACAAAGAATATATAGTTTTTACCAGTTTATTCCAGTTTGAGTTATCATAAAAATGAGACAATACTGTGAAATTCTGGCCTTCTTGTATCACCTGATCCATGCTCTGTTTTATACCAAATCTGATACCAAAAATGATTCTTTTGTCCTTTATCTATGAGTCACATAAAAACAAATGATATTGCAAATGCTTCTTATATTTTTTTAAAAAGTATCGAGATATTTTTCTTTTTTTTTTTTCAAACATTCATCATTTTCACACTGACATTTATCTTTTTTTTTAAGTTATATTGCCGAAGTTCTGAAATACATAAGTATTTTTTTTTTGTAATTTCAATGTAATCCTCACCCACTTTTACTTTTTAAAATAAATAGCACCATTATAAATATTTAAATAAATAAAACATGATTTCTACTAAAAGTGATACAGATACAATATCATATTCATCTTGCATTATATCAGACTGCATATGTGAGACAGTAAATGAGAGTGGGAGATTTTCATGTCATCTTAACTATAAATACTAAAGTCATTCTCTGAATTTCTTCTTAAATATTTTTAAAAGAAACATACACACCTCACTACATATAACTTTTATAAAATGTACAAACATGGCTATAAAAAGACATCATTTAAAATTGCTTGTATAAAATGGGCAAAAATAATGCAATGTGCCCAAAAAACTCCTCCAAAAATGACAAATGAAATAAATAATATTTACAGTTTTACAAAAAAATATCAAGTACTTATTTCGCAGTGGCCTTAGGAATTTTGGATTCCACTTTAGGCTTAGTTGTTTTGCTTTTCGTTGGAATTAACTTCCGAGGCAGTCTGGACAGTAATTTCTTGTCCTCCTTGATTTTGTTAGCACTTTTTTCATTGGTCGATGTTGAGTTAGCACTGTCCAATCCCTGAGCCTGTTTCTTCTCATTGTCCTCGGTTCCCTGAGACTGTTTTCTGAACATTCGGAACCTCCCGGGCTGGGGATTTACTTTAGTTTGTGTCTTTGATTTATTAGATATTGCCTTTGATGGAGGAGTGTCTTTCTTAGAGGACCCATCATCGGCCTTTTGGGTGATGGATTTTGGAGATCCTGTGGGTATCTGTTTCACAGTACCATTTTCCTTCACAGGCGCAGGTTTTTGTTTCTCGGTAGCTTTTTCAGCTACCTTGAGATTTTTCTGTACATCTTTTCTCCCTTCACTACCGCTGACTCCTCCTTTGTTTGGCTCTTTGCTCTCCTTGGCGACCTTGACTTGTATTTTATTCTGGAGACTATCAGGGGAGGGCGACATGTCATGTAAGAAATCAAAGGCAGCCACAGCCTCCTGTTCTCTTTCTCCGAAATGCGAAAAATATTGAGAAAGATCTACAGCTGGTCTTACTACTGGAGTACATCTTACAGCTCCATTGCCTTTTTCTATCAAAACAGAGAAAGAGAAATATTCATATACATACTGATTTTCTTTTCCAAAGTGCATTTCATATAATACCAATAATTATTTACCTCCAATAAGCCTTGAGCACATGACATGATCAACTCCAATGTTGTCATCCAAGCTCTCCATGCTCTCTCCACTCAAATGAACCATGGCATCCAGACTTGATGACCCAAGCTACAAATGAGAGTAATAATAAAATTAAAATTTATATAAAAACACTTTATTTAAATACAAAATGTTATGAATAAATCCAAAGCTTCAGGTAAAGATGAGAATGAAGAATAATACCTTTGGCTTCTTGTTTTCCACTCTCTGGGTAGGTTTCTCCACTATTTTGATTGGAATTCTCTCCTCTGAAATTCTTCCCTCCCCATTTCCTGCAGTGGTGACTGGGTTTATCTCATCCTCCATGATAGATTCACACAAGGACTTAAAATCATACTTCCCATTTGGATTAGAAGGTGGCAAATTCCCATAGTATTCAAACTCATCATTACATGAAGTGTCATCCATATATTCATTGACCCAGTCTGCACATGCCCCTGTTTCCGAGAAAGGAGATTCACCCATGATAATTTCTCCTCCACAAGGTGTCAAGTAGAACTCATCTTCCACCCACTGGTATCCATCATTGTCTCGGAAATTCTCTGCTGTTGTTGGGAAAAGTTGGACTTGCTCTTCATTTGACTCAGTGTCTGAATCATGGCTATTCAGACTAGTTAGACTTTTATGTAAGGCATTAACGGTTTTTGAAAGACTTGCAAGCTGACGTGAAATCTCATCAAATTCCTGAGTGTTCCTTGCACTGACGCATGCCTGGCAGTTTTTCTTGTCCTTGGTTTCTTTACAGGTGTGCTTCGGGGCTTGCTCTGGTTTGTATTGCTCATGATCGCCATCACTGCTCCCATTAAATAAGCTTCCCTTTGAGCCAACCATACACAAGCTGTAATAGTCACTACGAAATTTAGAATCCACCTCCTGGCATGAACTATCACTGGATGGTGTCCCCTGCCTTATAAGCCTCTGTTCCACAACCATGCTTTCACTGTACTGAGCAGCAGACAGCATCTGATGCTTGTCAATACCCAAGCTTGGGATTTGAGAGAGATCTGTGTAAGGGGGCATCTGGCTCAAAAGATGTTGGTATCTATGCTCTTTTTTCTGTTTATTGGCCAAGATTTGGGTATAGCTGAGACTCTGGAAGTCATCCTCTGATTCACTCTCCATAGACAACTGAAATGATAAAAAAGAATCATTAATATGAAACTGTTTTAATTTAGGAACAAATGAGAAGGAAGAGAAATATTTAAACACATCCTTGAATCAGTGCACTTACCTGATGATAAATGTGGGCTTTGATGATTTCTTGCACCTGTCCAATAACCTTGACCTCATCTATCACCATCCTTTGACCATGTCTGCTCAAGGGTGGCGTAACTTTGACAGAGTGTTTCACCTTTGCCTTCCTTAGATCATTGAGAGAAGTTGAATGTTCTAAGGAGAGGTTACCTCCCTTACCACTGTTCAAAATTTCATCCAAGTCATTATCAGAGGCAGAACCTGTACACTTGTGCAAATCTGAATCAGACAAAGCTCTTGAAAGACCTTGAAGAGAGGACCACATGGCTTTATGCTTTCTCCCTTTAAACATGTGTAAATACTCGAGATGTTTGACATGTGGCTGATGATATTTGAAGCTACAGTCTAATCGATTCACACTTGAAGCTGTCGACATTTCACACTCATCTTTCTCCTCTGGAATATCAGACAAGAAATTCTCTTCACTCAAATGAAGAGGTTGAAAACTTGGTGGAGTTTCAGGTATGACTGGTTTGAGTATAGGTTTGGATGGAGGGATAACAGGTTCAAACTTGACTTCCGAAACAAATGTCTTTGGTGGTGGTGGGGGTGGCACATTCACCTTGACTTTCACCTGTTCACTTTCTTCTTCTTGCTTTGATTGAGTATTGTTAAATAATGCACTCTCGTCCCCTAGGGAGTACCTCTTCAGATTAACCTCAGGGTGAGAACACTTAGAACTGAGTGTACTGTCTACTGATGGCGATTTCCTGAGGGGAAAGCGAGAATTTGGACTGTCGCTAGTTTTCTGACACTCTGCCTCAAACATTAACCTCATAGCTCTCACTCTTCCGAGTGAGCCATAAGCAGGAGACTGGGGGGAGGGGGTGCCAGAGAAGTGAGGGGAGGAAACACTGGAGGATGTGATCTCGTCACTCCCACTGGCATGTCCAATCATAGAGTCCCCTTCACTCCCAGTACTGGACTTGTGGGATTTATTGCTCTCAGTAGGTGTCACAGGACTTTTGTCCTTGACAACTGTATCTTTTCGGTCTATTGAATCCACATTTATTTGTGCACTATCATTGTATTTTTCCTGTAGTTCTGGTTGAATATCACTTGACATGGTGGAATACCCATCATCTTTACTCCCTGATCGCTCCACCCTGTCCCCTTTATTGCTTTCAAAACTGGAGTCGGATGAAGGCACACACTTAGGATTGAGTTTTGATATTTCTGGAGTAGTAATAACATGATGTTGTTGTAGTGATTCAGTGGAGTTAGAATTGTCTGTCTTAAATTCATGAGGTTTAGGTATCATAGTCATGTTTTCCTTTGATATCACTGGAACCACTGCTGGTTTATTTTGCCTAAAACCTGGAGACTGTAGACCCATTCTTATCCCTGGTGACTTTTTACCTGTACCTGGTTTTTTAGGAACAGGAGGGGGTGGTCCTTTTCTAGGAAGAGAATTTAAACTTTCATTGCTATCTGTTGCATGGTAAGCACTAATTACCTCTGATTTCTGCAACATTTCTGAAGACACTGAGTTGGTTTTTGGCAGTTTTGGCACTTCGGTGGCGATCGGAGTTAGTTCTTGAGATGATTTCAGTGATTGTTTATCTGAGACAGATGAGGAATGATATGAAGAACGATTAGAAGAGGAACTACTTTTTCGTTTCGGTTTGTGATGCGGTCTGTTTTTACGCTCCATTTTTGGAGACCAGGTTTCATCACTCTCCGTACTACTAAGACTAGATGAGCTATATCCATGATACATGAATTGTTTTTCTTTTGATGCTAAGACAAGTGAGTTTGGCCTTTGAGTTTGATGCTTGCGTTTGCTGGGATGTTGCATAGATCTTCTGCGACTCATGAGTGGACTTTTGGCTGCAACGCAGTTCAGAGTATCTTTGACAATATCTGGCTTGCTTCCTAAACTGGAAGACTTTTCTTTCCTCATTTGAATCTCTTTAGATGAAAGACTCTTTGAATCCTCAAATGATTGTTTATTCACAAAAGATGGAGAATCGAAGAAAGCGAAAGCTTCAGCAGTAAATTCCTCATCCAGCAGTGTGTCGGTGTCTTCGTCCTCCAAGAGTTCATTTAGGGACACCGTGGACGTAGTACTGAAGTCTGCCGACACTGGACGGTTAAAGTCACTGTCTTCATCACTATATTCATAAAAGTACTGAGCCTTAGGAAGTAAGGAAGCACTTGCGGGATGCTCTAGATTTTCTGTAACGGCATCTACCCTTTTATCTGTACTGGACTGATCTAACTGTCCTGAACATGCTTGACGCATTGATGCTGCTTTGATTGCACTGGAGATGCTGGGAGCTTTTGAGTGTTCCAATGCTTCTGATGAAGACATTTTTGATACTGTTCCTAAATCTTTCAAAGTTCTTTCCTGTTTCACTAGCGGTTTCACAACAGCCTTAGAGCTTTGAGGTAGAGATGGTTGTGATTTCAAAGCATGTTTTACTGGAATACTTGTTTTGTTCTGGACTGCTTTACCTGAGGGGATACTTGATTGTACTTTGACAGACCTGGTAGACAGGGTTTGTTTGTTCACTCTGTTAATATTGTCTGGCTGAGACACACTCTTTTTGGAATTCACATCCAACTGATCAGCAGAAATGGACATCACTCGAGAATTATGAACGTCTGTAATACTCTTGGATTGCACTGGCTGAGAAAGTCTTGTTTTTTGTAGAGCATTTGTAGAGTTGATTCTGGTCGGTTTGACTGGACCTTGTAGAGAGGACACAGAAGAGCTCCGTTTGGTTCGGACTCGCTCAGCAATACTGATGTGCTTGACCTTGGGACTAGAGGGTGTGGCGGGGAATTCCGTTTCTATTTTTGTGTGAGGCCCAGCATCCTCACGGTGAGAAGATGGCACACAGCTTGAGGTAGATACTGATCTTGGTCTCTGTTCTTCTATTGGCTAAAAATGACAACAAACCATTTATGAGACTTAAAATATAAAAACAATTTAACATATATGCATATGTTAACATATCTTTCTTGCTTATAACTTTGAAAAGTATTTGATGTATGCATGATTATGCATATCTTTGATTTATAGTTTGCAATGTCAGAGTGTATTTATTTTTTTACTTTTCGAGTTTTTCTGTCATAAGTATTTCATAACATTTGTGAGTGTTATGAAATACTTGTGACAGAAAAAATCATAGTCTATCTATCCTCTGTAGTGATACGTACAAAGTCTGATGAAATGCTTTGAAGAGACTCTGTGCTTTCAGGAATGAAGTGCTGAAGACATTTCTGTGCCACCGTATTTTGTAAAATATATTGTGACATTGGCGACAGGTGCTGAAAAAGTAAAATGCAAGTGTCACTCATGTGCTATCATACAAATCTATAATCACTACTGAATGTCTTATCAAAACCACAACACAAAGCTGTGAAAACTTCTGTATTATTTTCTTAAAAAAAATCTTTGCTCCCTCTTACAGTTCTCAAACTCTTTTCTTCCACACTTAACAGATAGCAATAGTAAATGAAAGCCCCAAAAAATGTGTAGTCAAATGATAAAGATTACGATACAAACTGATAAAGTGCTGAAACACATTTATCAATAATGATTTAGGGAAAAAATTGAAGGAGTATAAAAACAGCCTTATACTTCATGTGTGTCTCATCTCTCTTAAAATGCCTTTCTGATTTCTTAGATTAGATATACCTCCGATAGAGGCGTCAGAAAATTTTTTATCATTAGTGGAGCATAATGACAAATCTGAAGGTATAAAGAGGAGCAAAGCAGTAAAAGAAGCACACTTGTGCAATCAATGAGGTATCAGTGAATGTACCAATCTCACAAAAGTATCTATGTGTGATTGGGAGATGACAGTAGAGCTTTGGGCTTACCGTAGTTGGTGCAATTGAGATAGGCAGTAAAGATTGTCTGTGTTTGTGCGAGACAGAAAAAATGGAAATTTCAAGAGTGAAAAAGCAGTAGAGAATTGAGCTTACTTCAGTTTCTGTGTGTAAAATGGTAGTAGAGATTTAGCCTATCATAGTTGGTGTCAGTGAAATTGTAGACTAGAGATTCAAGCTTACCATAGTTTGTGTGTGTGAGATGGCAGTAGAGATTTGAGCTAACCATAGTTCAAGTGAATGAGATGGCAGTAGAGATTTGAGCCTACCATAGTTTGTGTGAGTGAGATGGCAGAGTTAGATGGTAGTAGAGATTTGAGCTTACCATAGTTTGTATGAGTGAGATAGCAGTAGAGATTCAAGCTTACCATAGTTTGTGTGAGTGAGATGGTAGTAGAGATTTGAGCTTACCATAGTTTGTATGAGTGAGATAGCAGTAGAGATTCAAGCTTACCACAGTTTGTGTGAGTGAGATGGCGGCAGAGATTTGAGCTTACCATAGTTTGTGTGATATGGCAGTAGAGATTTGAGCTTACCATAGTTTGCGTGAGTGAAATGGCAGTATAGATTTGAGCTTTACATAGCTTGAGCAAGATGGTAGTAGAGATTTGAGCTTACCATAGTTTGTATGAGTGAGATAGCAGTAGAGATTCAAGCTTACCAAAGTTTGTATGAGTGAGATGGCCGTAGAGATTTAAGCTTACCATAGTTTGAGTGAGTGAGATGGCAGTAGAGATTTGAGCAGGAAGACTGGTGACACTGTTGGAACAACTTTGTTGATCACACAATGTGGAATTAGACATGCTCTGACTGGACGACTGAAAACAAAGGCAAAAACATCATGCAAGAGAGCCATGATACTGTAGAGAGGGTAAAAGTAGTGTAAAAACTTTTTTTTTCCCTCTGCCACTTCATAGCAATTGTCTGAATTAAACATAGAAATAAATTTTGTTTGAAAAAAAAAATTGTTCACTTTTTCATGCTTTTGTACCTTTCTGAGAGTGCAATTATATGTACACTATGACTTATTTTCCCCTTCCAGTTTTCACTAAATTTCAGAAATTTGCCACAATTTGTTTTATCTAAATGAACACTATACTGGATGTGGGTTTGGGAGGAGAACTTAACCAATCCCTTGTTTTTTAAGTAAATTACATGGTTAGGTAGCAAGTAAACAAGCATATTAATACCTTGATGAGGGCCTGAGATGAATACTGACTCTTCTGTTGAAACACATGGCTGAGCTCCATGTTTTGATTTTCTAACTCGTTCACTTTTTTCTGAAGTTTTACGCATTCCTCTCTCAAGGTCTGTCAACAAATAAACAAATCATTAAAACTATAAAGCAAGATGATTAACTAGAAAATTATTGATAATAAAAAGAAACTTCAATTAAACTTCACAGACAGACGAGAGAATCCCTGAAATTCTGTACCTATCTCAGGGGTTTAGAATTTTTATCTTATCTATTTCCTTTTAAATGCAGTCTGCATATGCAACTGCCTCCCTTTTTTCCAAGACATGGGATTTAATCAACATTTCCTGCTTCCCATTTTATTGATAAGTTAAGACTCCAAAAGCACTCCAGGGATACTAAGTAGTCATTACCTTCTGAGCCAGTAAAGCTTGGACCACTTGGTTGGCGATTTCGTCCAGACATTTCTCGTACTGTTGCCGTTGTTGTTCATTCTCTAGAACTAAGGAGGAATTCTCCGCCTCCAGCATCTTAAGCCTCTCCAAGAGGAGTTTGGATCGCTCGTCTGTCTTACCATCCATCTGGGGGTAAAAAAATGAGAAATAAAAATCAACATGCTACATCAGCAAACAATTCCCATAATAAAAGATTAAATAACCTGTCCGTGCCTTGAAGAAAAAATTCTCACACTAATAAAACTTTTTTAAACAAAAAAGGCTATAAAATAACAGATTTCTTCTCTTATCAAGTAAAAAATCCGACTATATTTGTTGAATTGTAACTGAATGCGCTTGAAGGCTTTGCTGATGTTTCCGTTCAAGTAGGTCTATCTTAAATGAAATCTATAAATAAGGTTTTGCAAAATATGTGCATGCATGCAGGCATTACCTGAACTATGAATTTAAAGCCATGCTGAAATTTCACGTTTACCCCTAGTCAATTCCTTAATCAAACACTTGATGCCAAGAGGCATGCCAAAGTGCCCTGCTTGCAATATATTGAAAATGATTATGTTTGGAGAAAATGGCACATAATTCAGAGGGACATTAAAGAGTCTTTGCTTTTTCCTTCACAGAAAAACAACCATTAAGCAATCAAATGAATTCTTTAAGATAAAACTGCAAAATCACCTAGTCAAGACTCCATAGGCCAAAGTTCTAGAGCCTTTTTAAACAAAAGACTAGAGAAATAGCTGACAAACACAAAATATTTCCTACTTCTTCTTATCACACAGGTGTAAAATATATCTCACCTGGGTCTTGAATCTCTTGACATCATTCAGAAGCATCATGTTCTCTCTTTCTAGGTTACTGATGTAATTCCTATACTTCTGTAGGTTGCTCTGTAGAAATAAATCAAGAGATATCAAAGATAAGATTACCACTGCCATCTGTTTTCATCCTATCGTTTGTATCGCACCTGTGTTTTTAAGGTCTACAGGACAATTACCTCATACGTGATGGACAGGCTAGACTTCTCCTGCTTCATCTGTTCTATCTTGGTCTTATACTGCATCATACTTTTCACCATTTCCTCCATCCTGAAACAAAGGAATCAAACCATGTCAGCCATTCCTGAAGGAAAACTGGGGGATTCAACACAGGAGTGCTTTGTCAGGAAGTGCCCCATGCAGCTGACACTCTTACACTCCCCATAAATTAACATCAACACTGTCTCTAGTGTCTAACTGCTCAATCTTACAGACCACAGTGAACAAAGTTATATGGAAATAAAATGGGATAAATTCCAAGCATTGCTCTCAAAAACTTACTCCCTTTTAATGTCACTAGTAAATGTTCAATTCTCTACACAATAATGAATTAACAATTGCAGTGCTTGTGGGTAGATCTCGATAATAAATATATAAATTTATACCAAACCTTTCAAAGAATCCTCCCACAGACTGATAAATCAGAAGTCAGTGCAGGTATATATCAGACAGCTATTAAACTGTTTACACATGTCTACAAGATGAATACACTAAGTACAGTGGACCCTCATTTATCCGGACGCTTTGGTTCCCAGTCAATTTGTCCGGATATGTGAAGCATCCGGATATATGAATCACCAGTTAAACAAGACAGAATAACATTTTAAAATTTCGTTCCGATGAAAAATCGTCCGGATACTGAAGCATCCAGATATCTGGCGTACGGATATCTGAAGGTCCACTGTATTTAAAATTTCTTTAAAAGATTAGAACTCTTAGTTCCAGTCCCAGGATCATATAATTAATAATTTTTGTCAATGCTTTCCGGTGGTCAAGCGGTCAGGTTCCATTATAAGAAATGAAAACAAGATTAACCCTATCAAACCCTCAAAGTAATGTATGCCAAGCTTTGAAGTAGCATCTGGGACACAAGAACAATTAGCAGAAAACACACCTGTGAATTTCTAATCCTGGATAATATCTTTGTTATCAAAAAGTCTCAGAACGTTCCGTTCAGTTTAAATAATAAATATCTGTTGACACAAGGACTTCATTACTGCTATAACTGGAAGTGCAGTTCTCCAATCCTTACACAATGCCACTTAAAGGTTCCATTCACGACTTGTATTTTTCTGATACAACCCTCCTAAACTATCGTATCTACTTTCCACAGAAGATAAGTATATAGGTGTCACACAGTGTAGAGTAAATTAGCACATGTCACAAAACTCTAACCGAGACTCGTAACACATAAATGTTTTTTTTAAATTTTCCCGTTGACAATCTGTCACCTACACAATCAAAACATATCCTACTGGCACACTTGACATTGAAAAGATTCCTTAATTTGCAATCCAAATTTTAAACACAAAATAGAAAACATCTGAAAATGAGTTCCTTTCATAATACATTATCTTCCTTCCAAGCAGTTTATATATACCCAACATTAGGGGGAAGCGTAATCTGTAAGTCTTCATCGAATCCTCCCCTCACTGTTTTACTTCTAACAGAGTGAAGTCGTGATATAAATACACTTTTCTTTACAGAATTTATTGATAAAACGTTTTATGATTTTCCCACTTGAACCCTGGATAGATCTTCTATTGAAGGACGGATTGAGTCCATACATAGAACTAACAACACGATATCAAGGCGGCAGATAAAATTGTGATTCCCTGCAAGATGCAACCCATACTGACTCATTTCAAAAAACTAAGTAATTCTCTTGTGCTTCCTCCAAATTCATGCCTTTTCAATTACATTTCCAACTGCTTTAATTAAATATAAACATGCAGCAAACACATCTGATTCAAAGGATTTATGTCAACATGAATCAAACTTAAATAATTAAATGATCAAAGGGGGATTTACCTTTCACCTGAACTCCCCGACATTTCTTCAACATGTACATCCATCACAAATTATAAATTGCATGACACATACATCACACTGTTAACAAAGGTGTGAAACATTTCCAGGTGGTTGGAGCAGGTTATTATTATTAAGAAATTTCTTAATAATTGGATGATATGTCTCTATGATTAAAATCCATGCAGGTATAGAGGAGAAAAAACATTGAAACTGGGACAGGCCTGAAACAAGATACTTGTAAATCATAAGCACTTCATTGTTGACAATTGCCAAGGATATTCCACTCTAGGCACCTAAATGTTCGCTACCATAACCTGGACTTCAAACAGAACACAATAAAATGTATTGGCTTTGTTTGCTCTGATTCTACAGAGAGATACCAATGAGATTAAAGCAGTAGATTTGTTTACATCAAAATATTAACCCAGATAATTGATTATGTTTACTGCCACTAACATACTATTCACTGCAATAACAGAAGAAACAGAAGAATTAAGGAGGACATGAATTCAGACAATTCCCAATGCATGGAGCTTTATATGATACTCTATAGAGAACAAGGAACATGCATGAACTGAACAATTCAATTGGCAAAACTTCCAATTCTTAAGTGTATTTGGTTCAAACAATCTACTGGCCTCTGGGTAGATTCTAGTGATATAGTGCATTAGATATCATCCAATAATTAGGTCAAAGACAAGGTAACCAACAGACTATGTAAGCTGTGAACAATCTCAACAGAAACACATATCATTACATCACAAACAAAACATCATAAGCATTCCTTGCCAACATTTTCTTCTTTGGCCTTGGTGATAAAAACAAGTTCAGTTTACATATAAAAAGGTCAGTTTGCTCCTTTGGGGGAAATAAAGTAAACGAACGAAATACAAATATTATCACCCCCCAAACCTTCTCAGATTCCACATCAAGTATTAAAAATTCCCTTGACCAGCTAGGAGCTATAAATAAGTAAAAGCTGCATCATTAAACAAACACTAGATCATCCTGAAGTATTCTTTGTATATACTACACACTGAGTGATCATCACTGGAAACTAGATAATGGCCACAAACTTCCAGGGGGAAAAATACAAGTCCGCCTTTGTGGAGCCATACAAACTTGACACAAACCATTTTTCCTCCCTCTCAAATAGGGCAGGAATTCTATAGCCCGAAAGAAAGGGAATGGACATTCATTCAGATTTCTCCTACCCATCAAATCTATTTATCCATCAACTTTATCTTACAATTAGATTCTGCTTTGAAGGACTTGGAAATAAATTGTTGATTTTCTGTCATTATAGATCACACAGTTTTGGCCAATCTGCCAACATTTGGTATAATACACTTAATTTGGGATAATATGTTTTGCGTGCAGATAACTACAGTTCTTCTCCTAGTGCCACTGTAATTCAATTTATTGTAATCTATCAAGGCAGTAGTCTACATTGATCTAAAAGATAATATCTACATGTTCTATAACAGTCACAAGAAAAACCCGAGAATATATTCTAATTTGCAAGTCAACTAGAAATACATCGATCACGGGATATGGAGACACCACAATATTGTTGTGTACGGCAATTTCTAAACTTTTTCACCTGTTGTGAGCTAAATCTATAATACATTTTTTTTGAACCTCGCAAAAAAGAAAAACCTTTCTTTTAATCCTTTTCAACTTGATGTCACTTGTGTGCTGAGTTAAAATACTTGTCTTTGGACATTGCCTTGACTACTCACTTTTTGAACTCGCCCTGTAAGGACTGGAGCCGAATCTGACAATTCTCGCTCTCGGTGGTCATATCTTTCAGCCTTTTTTCCGCTTCATGCCTTAACATTCTCTCCTGCTCCACTTCCTTCAGTAAAGGAGCCTCCTTCTGAAAACAAAACCAAGAGAGATGACTTCATAACCCATCAAAACCATTGGGACACTATACAATTTATTAATTCTGCAGATCAGGTCAATTGAGTCATATTCTATTTCTCTGAGTAAAAATTTTCATACTAAAACTCAGTATTGTAACACTAATTTCTGAAATGCGGCATTTTATTTTGAGTTATGTTTTATTAATGCATTGGATATGCAACAAGCCCAAAAACTGATAGCATCGCTGTTTTACAGTGCATCAGAACACAATCATCTTGTATTTTGTAGGAGTTTTCCACGGCAGCGTTTTGCAGGTCTAATTGTGTGGGGCAGATGCTCTTACAAATAACGATAAACTGTGACTGACAGACAAGTGCTGCAATATCAGCTGCTGAATCGACTGGGGTCCGATATTCCCATGCATTCTGTTTTTGTCCTCTCTGTGGCTTGATGGGTATTGACTGGTTATGAAATATTATGTTTACTTTTATACAGTATACATTGATTTTTGTCCCCTTGATCTCTTGGAAAGTTGACCTGTGATCGGAGGAGGGAGATGGGATTACTGCTAATTAGCGATAGTAGGCCGCAAAATTAAATCAAGTCTTCTGATATTTGTGCCATTAAATAGATTAATTTGTCATAAAAAGCATTTACTTTGAAAATTAATACAAACAGAGGAAAATTGAGCTAACATAATTTCATTACAAACATTTTGAGAACTTGCTGCAATTTTATTTTGCTAATACACATTGACTCTATGTATCTGAATAACAAGACCAGACAAATTATTGACAGTAGCAAACATACTGGTAAGTAAAAAGCTTATATGAATTTCACATTCCATTCACACAACAGATTGAGCTTCAGATCAATGATTGTGGGTATTAACCTCATAAAATGACAATAACCGTTTTCTGCTTTGTTCTAGGGATTAGCAGCTATTTACTTCACTTCCAGCCAGCTGATGAACATTTTTGCAAGATGAGCATAAAATGTAACACAAACATCTCTGGATCAAGTTGTTGGATCATTAACAAACTTGGCCCATAGACACTTCAGAAACAGCAGCCAAAGTTGATAATTGATCCGGAGGTACCACACACACTGAGTAAGGACAATGTTTGAACAGAACCTTGGGGCTGGAATTTCAGAAATCTTCCTCACATCATCAACAAGTCACTATAGTGCCAGGCTTTTTTTTTTAGCATCAGCACTGTAAATTATATTTCCTACCTCAACTTAAACCCCCAGATTTTCAATGTGTCCCATGTTGTAAGCACTCAGAGGGGCCTCAGTTAACTCCTCTATTGAAAGATCCTCCATGACCTCACAGAGCTAATGGACAGAAACCAAACACCAACCTCTTTTTCTGCTATTTAATGTTACATTTTTTTTGTCTTTGATGATTGAAAGAAAATACTTAGCATTTCCTCTATTCTGACCACACACAGAAGTTACAGTTAAATAATCAATCTCTTGTAATTCCCACAAAATCATTAAGAAAGAATCACTGTGAACTAAAGACCTTTTGAACCGTTTTCTAAATGGGGACACAGGAAAACAGATCGTAATTGCCTCCTAATGTTTATAAGCACACTTGGTCTCTGTTTTGTTGTTTGCTTTTACTGCCTCGTGGCTTAAAAAACGAGAGAAATATATCACACAAAGGGCCTGAATGTGTTTTATCTCTAACAAAATAATTTGCAGTGAAAAATAATTGTGCCCCACTCAGCTGCATAAGAAGCTATAGTATGACCAATTTATCAGATAACCTTCAAAATCTGAAGTTCTCTTCATGTAATGGAATATAAACAGACAAAGACATGAGACAAATAATTTAACCAATTTCTCAGAACTAGCAGAATGTACAATAAGGTACTTGAGAGGCCAAATGTATGGCTTGCAGGAAATGCAATTGGCTGTTTGAACTAATACTGACAAATTGCAATTTTAGATCTTTGTTTTAGATAACTGAAACTGCATATGGTGGAACGTGTAATGTAAACTAATTCAACTGTAGGAAAATGATAAACTCTGCATTTGATACCTGTAATTTACTATACAGGCATCTGGTATTCAGAAAAAAGAAAAGGAAAAACTGTTCATTCTCAATAGCAAAAAAAATTATTTCCTATTGTTGTAGATTTTTTTTCTTCAACTGTACATGTTCCTGACTAATGGTTATGCTTTAATCATGACATATGCTTTGACAATTAATTGTTCTTTTCATACCATAACCTCCATATCAAAAGGTCATTCGTTAATTTATATGCTATTATTTTTCATACAACTAAAGATTGAATCAACACAACAAGTCATTTACACAATAAACATTGGAGGAATAAGGGCCTGGGGATAAAATCAACCCATTTCAGAAAAAAATCCAATTTTTGACACTGTGAACTAAATTAACAAAAAATTAATGTATTTTTAATGTGAACTTATCGACATTCTGCCCCGATCATTTAACCTACTGTATTTATGATAAGGTGAATCCCCGATGAATAAATCATACACGATAAATTACAAAACAATCTAATATCAAAGCCCCCAAGCTTTTGGAGGTTAACTGATCTCAAATTAGCCAATGTTAAAAAAGACCATAGCTAATTAAGGTCAAAAGTTCACACCCATCTCTTACTCTTCCGATAACCCGCTTTTCCACCCTCCCTCCTTTTTTTTTTTTATTAATCTGGATCTGGCCAATGATGAAACATAGCTGTATTTTAGGCACACATAGCAAGAAATATTGCTTACTGTTAATGAGTAATTCAGCCCACAAAACCATAAAACATACCCTTTATATCATTTGAATATACAAAGCCAAAATTTAATCATCAATAGATTTTAAATATGGGGAAAAAAATATCCCTGGTCAATGTAATGATTTTAACAAGAGGCCCATGGGCCACATCGCTCACCTGAGCACTAACCGTAGGAAAAAGTAGAAAATGGCTTTTTATTGTAAAGTTTAAATCCAAAAGTAGTCCCATGACCAATCATGGATTTGCTATTTTTTAGAAAATGATTTTTAAAGAATTTTCCTATATATATCTTTAAAAACTTTGGTCGGCCATTTTGGCCCGGCCCTACCCCTGGGGGTCATGATTTGAACAAATTTGAATCTACACTATTTGAGCATGCTTCCATATATATATATGATGAATTATGGCTTTGTCATTCTTGAGAAGAAGATGTTTAAAGAATTTTCCAATATATTTCTATGTAAAACTTTGGTCGGCCATTTTGGCCCCGCCCTACCCCGGGGGGTCATCATTTGAACAAACTTGAAACTACACTACTTGAGCATACTTCCATATATATATGATGAATTATGGCTTTGTCATTCTTGAGAAGAAGATGTTTAAAGAATTTTCCTATATCTTTCTATGTAAAACTTTGGTCGGCCATTTTGGCCCCGCCCTACCCCGGGGGGTCATCATTTGAACAAACTTGAAACTACACTACCTGAGCATGCTTCCATATATATATGATGAATTATGGCTTTGTCATTCTTGAGAAGAAGATTTTTAAAGAATTTTCCTATATATTTCTATGTAAAACTTTGGTCGGCCATTTTGGCCCCGCCCTACCCCCGGGGGGTCATGATTTGAACAAACTTGAATCTACACCACCTGAACATGCTCCATATAAATATGATGAATTATGGCTTTGTCATTCTTGGGAAGAAGATTTTTAAAGAATTTTCCTATATATTTCTATGTAAAACTTTGGTCGGCCATTTTGGCCCCGCCCTACCCCCGGGGGTCGTGATTTGAACAAACTTGAATCTACACTACCTGAGGATGTTTCTCCATATGTTTCATCTTTTCTGGCACAGTGGTTCTTGAGAAGAAGATTTTTAAAATATGCCACCAAATTTTCATTAATTCCCAATTATCTCCCCTTGAATGAGGGCGTGGCCCTTCATTTGAACAAACTTGAATCCCCTTCACCCAATGATACTTTGTGGCAAGTTTGGTTGAAATTGGCCCAGCGGTTCTTGAGAAGAAGTCAAAAATGTGAAAAGTTTACAGACAGACAGACAGACGGACAGACTGACGCCGGACAAAATGTGATCAGAAAAGCTCACTTGAGCTTTCAGCTCAGGTGAGCTAAAAAAGGCAAATTATCTTCCAATTATGTCCCTTTAATGTTTAATGACATCATTGCATGGATGTACATGTGTATCTGTATATGCATAATTGAGTACATGTATTGGCATTTTGAAGTGGAGGTACCAAAGAGTTTGCAAGTCATTTTGTATCTTAGTGTTACATTGGCAATTGAGTCAAAGTGGTTTTTGAAAATTCAGTAAACTTATGGACAATCAATTTTCTGTTAACAATCACTCCAAAAGGACACAGCTCTAAATCAAAATATTGAATTCACATGAATTAGAGCTTTTATAAAATGAAATATGGATTACTCATAGGCACCGACACATCTTATCATAGTGTACCATCATAGCTAAAGCATTCATAAGTCATCATAGCAGTGATTCAACTCACTTCCAGAAACTCACTCTATCATGTGATTGTCTAAAAGAAAAAAAATTTCCTATGTTGCTGGTTCCTCTCTATGTAACTTTTTTTCTCCAATAAAGTCTATTATCAAATTACTTTTTGTGAAATTAAAAAGCTTTTTCAAAAACCTTGCAATGAGCATACCAGTTTATTTTAAGTTGACAAAGATCTCCCACTGCAACCATTAATAATAAATTTTGTGAGCTTCTTTCCACAATCAGTGAAAAAACCTACACACCGCTTCATTATTAAATTTGATCTGTTCATCAGTTGGAATTAAAATCACATGAAGATGAAGATAAAAGCAAACAGAAGCTGCTGCTAGGGATGAATCACCAGGTAGTTATTATCTGGATATGCATCAAAGCTTCGGTCCTCTTTGTCACGCGTAGCCAGGCCAGGCCTATTGTTCAATGTGATGACAGAAGTCCGCATGATATCATATTGCTCGCTTTAATGCTATGCAAATAACAGGTTAGCT